ATTGAATAAACTGGCAAGTGTTCGAAAACATGATTTCAATGTACTCTGTTAAAAAACTAATGAGTTTTAGTGGCTTAGAAACTTGATTTTAATTTATAAAATAATTCGATGCAGCTAATAAGAACTATTTTCCATTGCTTCACTCGATCTGCACTAGATTCTATTTCGGTGTTAGCTGAACTTCTAGTATGATGCTTTGATTTAATTATGTCTAAATAATTAAAATTATCCACTATATGTTATATGTTAAAACAAACACCAAAAGATATCACATATTTACAAGTACTATTAACAAATTATCGTGTCACTAGTCTTACTAAAACATTTTATACGAGAAGTTTTTCAAAAAAAGTTTAAACGTCTTTGATTGTAAAATCATATAGATTGACGATTAAAATATAATTTCTCTTTGATTAATCAACTATTTCATTGAATTTTAAAAGATGCTAAGGATTCGAAATTGAGTTCAAAAAATGAATATTTCAAATATAAACTTTGAATAATTAAATTCACAGTGTAAAACATGCATACATCTTGTCTAGAGAAAAACATCGAATTCAAGTCTGGCGTAACTGTAAAAGCCGAAATCTGGCCGACCGATGTGAAAAATTCTCGTGATCTGGGCTATCCGTGTCGAGCTCTGCTATATCATTATTCATAAGAAACTAATCAAAGAAATATAAACTACTGTTTCTTATTATTTTTTTTTCTAAATAATTGTTAAAAAGCATTTTCCTAGTGGCTCTTTGATACGAACAGCAGATTCGATTGCCTTGAGAAAATAATGTTGCCTATCGTTGATTGCATTTAGCAAGATCCATGATTGAAAAAGAAACACGTCAGAATCTTTTTTTCTTCGCCTTTCATGTCTGTTGTTTGTTTGTTTCAAATAAAACTCACTGATTGGATGCTCAAGTTTGATTAGTTTTGACAGCAAGGAGAGAAAAGGCTCATGCCATAGCAGTCTGAGTAGAATTTATTTATGCAAAAATACGATTGTCTAATCACAATGAAAATCAATCTTTCTTTTTCACAAAATTTATGCAAAACTGCATTCTGCCTGTTAAAAATAAAAAAAGAACAAGAGATCTATAATACTTACGTAGAAGTCAAAAAAAAGCTTTCTATGACTCATATTGGACAAAGGCCGTCGATACAATGGTCTGTATACTTGTATTGGTTTTGTTTTTTATTGATAAGATCAGATTTTGAATGCGATGATCTTTTGTGTTTCGTTTTGAATAATCAACCAGCATTTTCACTCAACGAAAACCAAATAAGTGAATATTGGCTAATTCTTCGAATCACAATTTAATCCATTGTTAACTGGATTAGTAGTCTTTGATTGGAACCCTAAATATAGCTGCTTTATAGACCAGTACGACTAGAATACAATCGAGGATTGGTGTTTCAACTTAGGAACATCAATCAACATGGTTGACACTGTTTGAATACATGTACCTTATTGGACTTGTAAAAAAGAAAAAGAAAATTCCTGTTCTAATTGGAGACGAAATCTGTTTCAATTAAAAGACATTGCAGATATAATTGAATAAATCTTAATTTGGTAAAATATCCTTGTTATTTAGCATTTGATCTTCAAAATTTCTCTCAATGTTCGATCCAAATTTACTGACTAAATTGAACAATGAGAAAATAATCGACGATGTAATTCTGAGTCTTTTTGGAGAGTCAATATACTGACTAGATAACGGCAACTAACTTGATATATCAGCAGTAATTGAACTATATTTACAAGCATGGAAGCGCAAGTTTATTCTTAATGTTTCCTTGAAAAATATTTGTAAAGTAGAAAGTCTATTGAACTGGGAATGTTTGTAAAATAATTCGAATAGATATGTATTGGGTCATAAGAAGTAAAATTATTACAAGAAACTATCCCGCAAATATGTTGATATCGTTGATATGGAATTTGAATACATTGGTCATCATTCACGTAGTCAATTTAACAAAGAAAAAGCTCACAGTTTTAAGTCTAACTGATCGAACATGTTTCTTGCTTAGAAACTGTTCTCTTTTCAAATAATGTTTTTTAACATGTTTATGAGAAGAATAATTTGAATATTCATGGGGAGATTGAAGGAAAAAAGAAATTCTTTGTTCCTTTATATTATTCTGTTATTGAGAAAATATTCTTATTATTAAAAATTATCAATATTTCAGGTTAAAAGATTCGTTTCTTTCTTTGATATTTAAATTGGATTTCTATGAGAGAAGTGATCTTGACAAAAACAATGAGGCAAACTTTATGCAGAAACATATGATATTAACAAAGACAAAATAGATAAAGTCAATGGAGAGATTTGTTTTATTGTACTGGTTCCGAATTGATTTTCTCTTTGTATTTGTCCGCAAAAAGAAAGTCGAACAAGTACCATTTTTCAATTCTGCTTCTTCTGAATAGTAATCATGATATTTTTCTTTTCATCGTTCTACCCTGCATATGTTTGAATTCTATATGAGCAACTAATCTTAATCGAATTTTTAATTAGACTGCTAAAGCAGTATTTTTTTGTCTTGCTGAAGCTTAAAAGTCTTCTTTGTCTCTTTGTTTTAGTTGTTATTCGTAACGAAATTTTATTTGATCATGCCATTATTTTTTCTTTCAATACGTCAGTGAACAGCAAGTTTCTATTTCATTCTACGCATAGATATTCTTTTCTAATAACCTAATTTTATTCAGTGTAAGTTTTCACAACGACTGTCTCAAAATGAATTGCATCAAACTATGGTAGCTTTTATTCTTAGTTCATATGCATTAGAAGTTTTGACTTCGAGTTAAACCCAATAGTATTAGGACACTTAAGATTACTTTCAATTTTTCTCCAAAGCGATTTTGTTATATACATAAGTAAATTGCATTAAATATTCAGAATACGTTCGAGTTGTCATGCAGAGATTACGGTAAAATTTTTAGTTCAATACTATAATGTTCAAGGAAGATAATCACCAAGTAATGATCAATAAAAGTTGACTTGCCGAGTCAAAATTCTTTGTAGACCTTCATTCTATCTATGTATTTTATTTTTCTGTTTGAAATAAGATCTTAAAATTTTATGCTTTAAGCAGAGAAAAGAGCTAATAAGTTCAACAACTGAAAAACCTTCAAAAAGCTTTGAGATAAGAATAGAAAAAAAAAGATTCTCTCATGCGCAAAGTGATTGATCTTCTTTTGATTTTTCTTTGGTGAATATCTTACTTCAACACTACGGCATTAGACCGAAAATTTCATACAATTTACATGTGCATAAATTAAAATAGCTTTTAAAAAAAGATTGGTGTGATCTGCCATATAAAAATACTTTTTGATATACTCTCTATGGTAGAAAAAGTTTTGGCATAAAAATGTCAAAAATATCGGAACAAATTCTTTTCTAGAAAACTTATCTGATTATTTCATTTTAATGCGAAACAAACTAAATGTTTGCATTGTTAAATGTCAGACGAAAATAGGAGATCGTGGGTGCACGATTAAGTAGAGGATAAATATTTTAAATTTGACTTCAACAAGGAAAACTTATGTGAAACTATCAAAACTAACAGTTTTGTAGAGCTTTTAATTCTTTACCTTTTGATACGTGGTGGAAACTTGCGGATGCATAGGAAGTAAGACAAACAAATATCAAGATTCCGTGCATTTTATTCTGGGATGTCGGTTACAATGACTATTAAAGAAATGCTGACTCTTGATAAACTTAGTTTCTATAAAGACAGATGATAATTCCTTCATACATATACGTAGTTTTATGTATTTCAATTATTCCAATCGATGTTTTAACCCCATTAGCCAAACATATCGAGTTTTGCATGAATTTTCTGTGTGAAGAGGAGGGCGTGGGTGCGGGTGTGGATGAAGATAAGATACTTCCACACCGCATACCAACTCTGAAACCCACCCACACCTATCTTTGATATTTTCATTTTTGTCTCAAAACAATACGACAAAAGATCATAACTAACGTAAGGTAATCTAATTTGAAATATTCATACAAATATTCAGAGTTCATAGACATAGACTAATGAAAGCATCATTCTCTATTACCATATAAATCGATATTGTCAACGCATAAAACGTCTGAAAAATTATTTAGACAAGAAGTAAATCCATAATTTAAGAAATGGCATCACCAGTACATAAAATAACGGTAATCCGCGTCCGTAAACAATCAAAAATCGTATGTAATCACTTATATCTATAGAATAATATAGTACAAAAAATTCTATTATTATAGCATGAACCATCATCCATAAACAATAGATCTCTTGAAGGACAAATGAAACATCAAAACTTGAATAATAAGAAAATGACAAATGATCCATTAAAGATTCACAATGTTAGAAGATATTCATCAGTTCATAAGAGTACAACAAATCTTCTGTCGAATGATCCAAATGAGGCAGAATATTCATCTCCTGATTTACAAAGCAGAAATTCATCCTCAAACGATCAAGAAAATTTAATTCGATTCTCAATTAGAAGCGACCAAAGAAATCCATTACCAAATTATTTCGATAAAATAATTTCTCCACCGAACCATTCACAAAGACAAAGTCAATCTTTAAGCAATGAAAATAATAGAGTCCATCCATCTGTTAGTGTACAAAGAATAAGTCGATCATCGACTTATCGAAAACAAATAAATATACCGGTCAATGATCAGTACAGAAGAAGTCGAATATCAGTACCACAAGAACTTTACCGAGCACCAAACAAAGTAAGAAAACAAAAGTTTCTCGAAAATACAAAGACTTCTTTCGATCTCAAAGAGAAACTTGAATAGCAATAATATCTTGTGAAAGTTTTCAATGAATCAAAAATAAATTATATTCTCTTGATGATTAATAACATTTTTATATATTCTCCTTACCTTTGATACTAGATTTCGTTCCTCAAATTCGTTGCAATATTTTTATGATTTCAACTTGTATGAAAATCAGAAAGATATTCTCAACACTTGAATTTTTTTTCTAGTTCTGCATGGTAGGATAGGACAGAGTAACTCTGTACATATCAAATTAGATTCCGCCAAACCTAATGGTATCTGATTAGATTCTATGAGAATTAAATAAAGTTCGATAGAATCTATTCAAAAAAATAATGTCAAGAACTAGCTTAAAGAATGATAACTGGGTCCCTGATATTGGAATCGAATCAGATTCTAATGTAACAAAATCATCTGATTTTATGGTGAGAATCTGTCGCATCCATTTATGACTGTTTCCACAAAATTTCTATCAAATACTGTTCACTTTTTCAGTTTCATAGGTAAGGTGCTAATCAAGTTCTATTAGATTTGACTAGATAATTACTCAGATAGAATAGTTCGTAGGAGAATCTTTTCAAATTTCACTGCACCAAGATCAGATAACCAAACAATGAAATCTCTCACAAGTAAAATATTATATTGTCGTAATAAGGATCATTGTCTCGGAAATTTTACGGTAAGGCTCTCTCGAAACATCTCTTTCCATCGTAAAGTATCACTTTAAGATGATACGAAATGTTATATGATGGTAAGATCTTGTAAGATTCTTGTAGTACTATTGACTATTAGATTTTGTGAAACTAGGTTTTTTTTGTATGATTTCATATCATGTCACAATATCCAACGTGTAAATTTTTGATTTGTGAGATATTTTCAGAATCACACGGAAATTGTGACCTTTGAGAAACTTTTATCAAGTCTTGCCATATGATTTTTACAACATTCTAATTACTATTAACAATCTTATATGAACTTTCAAACAGATCATATAGGATTTTACGTATAATATGATTTTGCAAGGATCATTCGTCAAAACATGATCTACGTTTAGTAGTTGGCACAATTTCTTGTACGTTTTTTTTATACGATTTTGTCTAATCTGAAAGCTCTTATGTCCAATTTTTCAGTATGGTGCTAAAATTTATCGAATGTCTGTTGTATCCCATTCATCGTTCTATTATTGATAACTTCAACAAGATTTTTTCAAGTCCTGATTGACTGACTGATCCACTAGATAATTATCGGATAAATCTGAATTTTTTCGAACTGCTTTGTATCTCAGAATAAGTGTTTCTTGAACAAACAAATGGATTCGAAGTTATCAAGAAAATGTTCTACATATTATACTGCTTGAGTTCAAACACATTTTACTTTCCAAAGACTAACTTGAAAATTTCTTACAACTACTAGAAAAGTCAAACATTCTGTTCAATCAATTTTACCAATGTACATATCTGAAAAAAGTTTCTATTTCTCCGACAACTTGTGTACCGAGGCATCTGCTTGAAAAACTAAATGGTGAATATGAAGATGATTAATTTTTCGTCTGATAAAACATCTCTAAACAACAGTGTTTTCTTGCTTAAAATAAATTTGCATTGGACATATGTGCTAGCATCTGAAGTGATTTCCCTTATGGCTGACCTATTACGAGACAATCATTATAATCTAAGTCATTGAAATCCAATAGAATCGAAAAAAAAATGAAATACAAAACAAATATACAGTCCGAATCTCATATATCTTTATAATTTTTTTTTACAAATTGATCTGATTTTATAGTTGAAATATGAATATGAAATTTTGAATGATAAAGATCAATGTATCGATACTCGTTTCGATTCGAAATAGAAAATGACTTTTAATATTATATACTCATTTATAGATCACTTGTTTTGTCTCTTTTTAGTCAAACAATTTATTCTTCATATCACCAAATGGTCTCTCAACTTCAATTTCGAGCAGAAAACAAACTTTATCCATGAACGATGATGTTATTATAAGAGATGAGAAGCGTACTCTGTTCACTTTCTATTGGATTCTTGGAGTGAATGATGAAGAAAATAAAAGAAAAAGAAGGCAACTATTTTTCAAGATAAAAATTTCTCCTATTTTGACTTAGATCTATTGTACTTTAGAAGACGTGGAGCCTACTTCACAAGTCAATGTTGTTGCTGCGCTATAATGACTTTAGTATGCTTGCTTATTCTGGCAGCACTTATAGCAGCAATTATTATGTTGAGTATGTATTAAAGAAGAAAATATTCAATTAAATTAATTAAAAACGTTTTATAGAAAATTTCATACAAATTAGTTGCTGATAGTTAGTTTTTTTTTTCCAAACATGATTGATTTAGATATATACAACGCATTGGATTTTTTCAGAAATAATCAATTTCATTAATTGGATTTTTCATTTCTTTCTTGCTATTTAGTTCATTGTTTGCAAAATTCATAATGTTAAAATAAGAAAAACTAGAAATGTAGAATAAAAATAACGAGTGAATAGCCAAAAGACGAAACACAAAGTAAGACGCCCTTGTTAAAAAAAAAACTTCTCTTCCATGTCCAGAGATAAATAAGGCAGATCCTAACTCTGGTTATCGAGAATAACAATCATCTACTGAAAACTTCTCACTTGAAATATTCTACATGACTTTCGCGAAGCTAAAAACGTATGCAAGTTCCACATTTCAATCCCAAACCCAGTTGCTCGAACAAACATTTTCTCCAAACAATTCACTAGTTATGTTTAATATTTTTGTGGTAAAACAAATAAGACTTTGATACCATCAAGCTCGTTTAGCTCAATCCAGAAAACAAGAAAAGATAGTATAGAATATTGAGTGTTACTTTACTATATGCATCTTTAAATAAGACTCAAAAAGCTTTTTGTTTGAGCATAATGATCATATAGTATCGGAATTTATCATCTTTTCAATAGTATATAGTTGGTCATTCTTCGGAACGTAAAACATATGTGTTTATATTAATATTGGAATACAGACATATTTCACTAGATTTTGTTGATGACGATGTGTAACACATAATTTATTCGAAAATAAAAACATCTGAGAAGACTTTTTTCTAGATCTAAAATATTTTATTAGTTTCCAATACAACTGCATAACTTGTAAGATCGGAAATCAAATACTTCATTCTGAAGTTCAGGTCACGAAATAGAACTACGAAAAAAAAATGGAGATGTTTCTGTATCAACTGGCTTGATAGATTGATTACGGTGGATGTAGATGTCTTCTATTAATGTTCACCCACACCCACCCACATTTTATTTTACTTTCTATTTTATTATTATTTGATGACACTGTTTTTTTTTTCTCCGTCATCAGGCATAATATCAAACTCTACGAACACT